AATCACAATGCGTGCATGACATGTTGTGTGAGGTGAGCTGCGGGGGAGGGGCTTAGCAAAAAAAAAGAAAAAAAAACGGGGCCGAATGCACGAGAGAGAGCGAGAGGGATAATAGAAAAGGAAGAGCATACGAATAGTAATAATAAAGAGATTTGTTGGGGTACGTGTTTTTCGGCACTTGCTCGGTGAATGCATTCTTTGGCGTGAAATGCGGCAGCACAGCTATACCTGCACACACTGCCGCATTTTCTTTTTAATCCGTGTTCTGCAGTCTGTTGATTGCCATTCTTTCTACGACCGCTGCTGTCGCTCACTCGTGCTTCTCTCCTTCCTCACCTCCTCTTCTTTTCCTGCTTTTTAGTAGAGGCGTAGGAAGGTCGTTTGTCTTGGCCTGGTGCTGCGGATTGGTTCTTTCTTTGTTGGTTCTGATCAGTAATAACGCTTCAGCTTGCTCTTTTTTTTTTCGGATTGATAGTTTTTTGTCTTGTCGGTAATAATCTAATTGTCTCTGGTGTCAAATTGCGCTCTTTTTTTTTTTGTACATGTGTGTGTGAGAGGCGGGAGGTCGGTGCTTCTCACATTGGTAGACTCAAACGCAGGCATTCATTTTTTAAAAGAGTGGACTGGGGAGCGAAGGGAATTGAAGGAGGAAGGTTGTGGTGCTTTGAGGCCCGTGTTGTTAGTGTTGTTGCTTTTCTTCCAGTTTTAGCTGTGTTTGCATCTTTTGTTTCGCGGCGGCTGATAGTGGGCGGCCGTTGATGATGACGGATGCAGTGGAGCATTCTACCGATCGCTTTTTTAAGGAGAGCGCTTCGGCGCTGGGGCGACAGTTTTCCGTCATTTTTCGTAATCTGCAGAGTGCACCGCCAAGCCGTCTCCGACGCGTGAATGAATGCCTCGCCGACCTTCTCGATCTCCTTGTCGCTCATCCAAAGGAGATTGCGGAGCTGGGACTCTTGGACTACATCTTTCAGCTCGTGAACGAGACATTTGACGATTCTTACGAGAAGGGAATTCAGGCTCTCCGCGTCGTTTTTGACGCAAATATTGGTGATCAACACGAGAAGCGATCCCGCTGTGTGGCGCTGCTGATGAAGCAGGCGGCAAGAGGGAAGTCTGAGGAGGATTGCGCTGCCGTACTGCAAGTTTTAGGCGAGGTGCTGCAGGAGAATGTCCGTTCTACCTCTGACATGCTGGGTAAGCACTTGAATCGCGCGATTGTTATGATGCGGCAGGGGATTTCGTTACATGAGAGAGCGGTGGGGTGTCAAATACTTGCGACTATGGTGGCAACAAGCTCTGGCGTCATCAAACGAAATCCGGCGCTTTTGGACAGTTTGAATGCCTCTTGTTCCCCACTGTTTCTTCTGCAAGAGACGCTTGAAAGCGCTTTTAACTGGCATCGCCACGCTCTTGTGAGTCTGCTTACGAGTGTTGTTGAGAAGCACTGCATTGAGGTTCCCGCCTCTGTGGTGACCCAAATGTCTGCCATGATGACAGAATGTATAGAAACTGCAGATGAAGAGGGACGTATTTTAGGGCTTTTGACGGCCATCGAGACAGTGGCAGCCTCTCCGACCCTCCAAAGTGCACCGTGGCCATTAACGGCAATACATTCGTTTTTGACAGGGCGTGATTGGAAGGCCGCTACAGCCGAAGCCCGTAACATGGTCCCACGAGCCACCGGTAAAGCTTTGTTTTTGTTTAGAAACGATGAGGAGTTGTATGATGGGGTTATGCGGTGCCTTTTGTCGTACATTTCGGAGTGGGATCAAACTGTCGCGGGAACTGCGCTTTCGACGTTGTATGATATTCTTAATGATGTAAACATTGCACCGCACGGTGATCTGGCGGTGAATGCGGTATGTGATTATATTGTTAAGTTTTGTTTTTGCCGGCTCCCGTTTGACGTGTTGCGGCGTCTGCTGGTACAGTGTGAGGAGCAAGGCCTGGCAAGAATTTATGCCTTGTTCGACCGCATTGAGATTGACACGGAGTACGCCAACCTACCGAAGCTGGGCGCGTTGCTGGGATTCATGGAGGAACATGGGCTGGAGGCTTGGAGGCGTTTCAGGCAGCTTCAGATCGACATCTCCTCCCGCGTTACCGTGGATGTGCTGGTAAATGTCTTGCCGTTTTTGGCGAAGCTCGGCCGCACGGAGCAGATGGCGCGGATGATTGAGTTGATGTTTCACGAGGATTTAAGGGTGCGGCGGGCGGCTGTGGACGCCGTTGTGACACTCTGCGAAAAACTCATTTCACAGACAGAAAACGATGGCAGTGCTCCACAACCGATTCATCGACTCAACAGCACCGTCACGGGTGCTGTGGGGAAGCTGCTCGATGTGGCTGTGGCCGACCGCGATGCGGATCTTCGCTACACCGTCCTGTGCCGGCTGTCTGCCCCGTTTGACTTGTACCTCTCGTTGCAGGATCACCTTGACGCCCTGTTGATGGCACGAAATGATGTTTCTAGGAAGGCGCGAGATCGGACCCTGGTGCTGTTGTGTCGTCTGCATCCGTGCAACCCTGCGATTGTTCACTCGCAGCTGCTACGTCAGCAGGAGTACATGCTGCGTGAGATTGAGGCGAAGGACGGCTCAACTTCTGCAGCCATTTACCATGCATCGCTTCTGCAAATGTCGGCGGAACACGACACGCTTCTTCTGCTACCCCGCACAGTGGAGCTTGCAGTGCTGGAGCGTTTGTGGCGGCAACCGTTTATTTCCAAGAGTTTCTCCATCGCCCTGTTAAACCTGCTGCGTGTCATTCTGGACCGGACGGGACCGCATGCCCACTGCGATGCCAATCAACTCCTTAAGCCTGTTCTTAATATTATCAACGGAAGCACCTCCTCCAGACGGCGCAAGGCGGCACTTGAGACACTCTGCTCTATCCTGACGACGATAACGGTGACGAAGCAGCCCAGCTACGTGGGTATTTACCTGGCGCTTGCACGCATCATTCGCTCCGAGGCGGAGGAGGATGAGGAGGTTAATTATGCCGCCATGAAGGCGTTGAGTGTGATCGGTGCTGTAAATCCTACCAGGCTTCGTCTTGTGCTAAAGGCCTTGGAAGAGGATGAAATTGAAGAGGCGGAGGAGGTGGCGACCTCGGCCTTGGCACGCTATAAACCGCGCATGCGTGTCAGCCAGCACATGACAGAACGATATCCCTCCGTTGTGCTGTATTTACTTGTAAAGACGTTGCAGCAGAGCGCCGACCCTGAGCAGCAGGCGGACACCATCGCCACTATCAGTTGCATGATACGTGAAATTCCTGGCAATCAAAAGGCGATATTGCTGACACACTTCCTTCCACAACTGCAGGCGTGGCTTGCCGACCCAGAACGTGACCACCTGTATGAGGGCATTCTGCTTCTCATGACGGAGCTGGCCACCCTACTGCGGTGCTTTAGGGATGTCATATCATTCAACACGGGTTCCGAGCTTCTGCATTCAGTACGACTGTTTTGTTTGCTGCCACAGGCATCACAAAAGCCACTTAATTCAGGTGTTGTGAAGTTATTGGATGAAGTTGCCCGAGGCCTGTCTGCGCAGGAGATGCGCGATCATCGTTGGGCGGTAGAGTTTATTCATCAGCGGGTCTCACAGGACAAATCGGACCTGGACCTGGTTCTGCGTGCTGTGAAGTCATTGGAATCATTTTTGGCGGTGTTGCACGAAAAGGATCTTCAGTCAGTTTTACCACATGTGCTTCAATGCATTGAGCCAGAGGATGAGGTGCCGTCGGGCTTGCGACCCAAGACAAAGGATATCAATGCAGCCTGCTTTGATTTTTTAAATCAAATTATGGTGAAGCAGCCGTCACTCGTGAAGGACTGCTGCGCCGAGATTGTTCACACCGTCATGTGGTACATTGAGCACTCTAACAGCCAGGATGAGATTGAAATGGGCTTTAACACCCTTGCCTTCCTTGTTGATGCTGTGAATCGTCAAGCAAAGCGCTTCATAGTCCCCATTCAACACATTGCGGAACAAAAGGGATTCTCAGATGACATGTTTCTTGGATTGCTTGACTTGGCTGCCCAAGGCTTCCTGAAGGTGCGTGCCCCGTCCACCAAACGGGATAAACTCAACCCTGAACTGCCTCTCAGCGTCGTGTCTCACCTACCAGGGCTTTCGCGGAAGGACTTTGAGGAGGAGATGCTGAACACGTTGCACCTTAGCAGGGACAAATTTGAAGTGATGGATGTCACACACCCGAGCGGCCAGACGATCATAAACCTGCGCTTTTGTGGAGGTGATGAATTGGGAACAATCTTTCGCTTCTTCACCCGAAAGGCGCAGGAAACACAGTCCGTTCTACGGCGCAACTTGGGTATTCTCAAGTTAGATCAGACACCGTTGAACGAATGCAAGGTGGATGTGGCGCTTTTGCAAAAGATTGCGACGATTCCGGTGGCCAACAAGAAGAAACGTGAACAATCCTGGATTGCGTGGTTGCATAAAACCTCGGTGGAGATGCTTGCCAACTCCCCGATTCAACCGTTACGTTGCACTGCTGAGCTTGCCAAATATAATAGTGATCTGTCACGGGACTTGTTTCCCTTTGCAGCTGCTGCCTTTATTGCACCACTAGATAATGCCCAACGGGCACTCGTCATGAACACCTTTACGCGTGCGCTGGAAATGTCTCCCAATGACATCAAACAAATTCTGTTTGGCTTTGCAGAGTTTTTTGAGTCTGAACGTGGGAAAAATAAAATGATGGTTGTGAAAAGGACCGAGACTATGACATGTGTGGTGGAGCGGGATAACGTAGAAAAGAGGTTTGGGATTAATTACGATCAGAGTGCTAGGGGCATTGTGGTGACGAGATTGGAGCCGAATGCCCCAGGAGCCAGGGCTGGGGTGCCTGTGGGGGCTCTGTTAGTGGCCATCAATGGAAAAAAGGTATCGGCTGTCAGTGAGATTGTTTCCATCATTAGAGGAGTTAACAAAATTGAACTTCAGCTAAACTATGAAGTTGAGGAGCGACGAAGACCGGAGGCTAAACCGCTTATGGACCTTGACGTTTTAGCGCGTGTTGCCTTTGACTCGCAAATGCACGCGAAAGCCATTTATCTAAATGAGGTGTTGTTTGACCAGCTCTTTAGTGAATTGGGGGAGCAGGTCTCTTGTCGTCAGGACGCCGCGGTTCGCGCGGCGCTGCAGGTGGCGGAGCGGCTCATTGAGTTTTATGACCACCTGGGATTGAACATGGTTGCGAAGGGTTTGGTGAAGAAAATGTCTGCCAAGTTTTCAGGGAACATCATTGCGCCAGAGCAGTCTGGGTTTGATGAGATGGGGGCGTTGGAGCAGTTAAACTGGTGGGGTGAGGCACTGGTCCGCTACGAGTCTCGCATGTTCAACACGGATGGGTCTATTAACACCTCCTCCCTCTTGGGAGTGTTGCGCTGTCTTGACGCTTTGGGCGAGACCATTGAAATGGAGGTTATTATTAACAAAAATTGGCCGCAACTGGACCGGGAGTCTCGCGCTGATGTGGCGCCGTTAAAGGCGAAGGTGGCGTTGGCGTTGGGCAGGTGGCAGCAGTTTGACGAGCTCACGGGGGAGTCTGGCGTGCTGGAGCGGCTGGACATGGTGGAGCGTTGCGCGACATTGTTTAGGCAGCATCGTTACGAGGAACTTCTGCGTTTTACGAAGGAGCACCGGGAGTCGCTCTTTGACGCCTTCTCGGAGTCTTTCATGGAGAGCTACAACCGGGCATATGACATGTTGGTAGAGCTTCAGCATCTGTGCCACTTTGAGGAACTGGTGTCGTTTGTCAACTCCGGAAGCGAGCGTAGGTGCATGCTGAAGGAATTGTGGCAGAGGCGCCTGGCGCAAATGTCGTCCCGTCCGGCGCATGTTAGAACCCTCATCACCATAAATTCTCTCGTGCTTTCTCCGTCGTCGGACCTGGCATCCCAGGTGATGTGCATAAATGCGTTATCAAAGGCGCAGTGGACCTCGTTTGCGGATCACATGTTGAAATTGTTGCTTGGGCCGGCTGGAGATTATCAGGCCCTGTGCAGCCAAGATCCGGACGTCATACACGCCTACATGAAACACTGCTACACAACGAAAAGTAGACGGGAGACGTTGCGTTTGCTTTCCGACATTCTTATGCGACTGCAGGTGGACCCTGGAGATGAGCGTGCGGAGGCGTGGGGTTGCTGTTGGTTGCTGTTGGGTGAATGGACGATGCATCTCTTTCCCGATAAAGGGGATGAGGCGATTGAGGAGCTGAGGAAGGCCACCGAGTTATGCCCCAACAATCACCTGGCGTTTCATTCCTTGGGTATTTTGCACTACGACATGTCCCGTGATCCGAATACACCGCTTGAGGTGCAGACGCGGCATTACGTGAGTTCGATTAAGGCGCTTTTTAGGTCTGTAGAGCTGTCCAGTATTCGAGGCAACGGCGTTATGGAGGACGTGCTGCGCATACTCTCCATCTGGTTTTCTCACAGCACGCTGCTGGAGATTAACGAGGTGATCAAGGAGGGGATTGACAGGGTGCCAGATTATGTTTGGCTGAAGGTGATTCCGCAACTCGTGGCTCGCATTGGCATCACGGCAAAGGCAGCACGGTCCATTCTCACCGAGCTGCTTGTGCGTGTCGGATCCAAGTACCCGCATGCACTGATTTATCCCTTGACGGTGACGGAGAAGTCTCCAGAGGCCATTCGGCAACTGATGGCGGAGCGCGTGCTGAAGGGGATACGGGTGTCAAATGGACCTATGGTGGGTGAGGCCTCCTTGATCAGCAACGAAATGGTGCGCATCGCCATTTTATGGGCGGAGAAGTGGCACAGCCACATTCAACAGGCGGCGGCAAAACAGACTGACGCCAGTGCCATTTTGCGCATCCTCAGTCCATTGTATTGGGAACTGGAGAATCCACTGACGCCCAACGAATGCTGCTTTGAGAAGACCTACGGTCCGACGCTGCGCCATGCCAGAGTGGCTTTGCAAAATAACGCCCTGGACCAGGCGTGGTCATTGCTAAAGCAGGTGTACGTGCAGCTGAGCAAGGCCACCGGGGAGCGACGCCTCCTCATGGAGGACTTGTCCCCAACGCTGGGAAGAATCAGCGAAAGTATTGTGGCTGTTCCGGGCTCGTTTGTGCTTGGCCAACCGCTCATCACAATTCAGAAGTTTCATCAGCGGGTGTTTGTCATGTCATCAAAGCAGAAACCGCGTCGTCTTGGGTTAGACGCCTCAAACGGGCAGAAGTACCGTTTCCTTTTGAAGGGGCACGAAGATCTGCGGCAGGATGAACGTGTGATGCAGTTTATTGAGTTTGTCAACACTATTTTCCTCACCGACAGTTCCTCCAGCGCTATTGGCCTGACGATCCCTCAGTACGCCGTTATTCCGTTAACAGATAACGTTGGTATTATTGGCTGGGTTGAAAACACAGAGACCATCTACCGTCTGCTGGAAACACGGCGCAAAGAACACGACATTTCCATCTATGAAGAGGTGCATATGATTGTCCGGAATGGAGGGCTGCGTAACATTGAGGAGTATCACCAGCAAAGCAAGGAAAATCGCAAGAAAATTTTAGGCGACGTCATTAATAATACCCCTGACGATGAACTGCGACGCATTATTTGGGACAAAAATGACACATGTGAGCAGTGGTTGGAGTACCGTGTGACCTATGGCCATACCCTGGCGATTATGTCGATGGTTGGCTACGTGCTGGGGCTTGGTGATCGCCACCTGAACAACCTCATGCTTCAGGAAAAAGGCTCTGTTGTACACATTGACTTTGGCGACTGCTTTGAGGTGGCAATGCATCGTGCTCTCTACGCAGAGGCCGTGCCGTTTCGCCTGACGCGTCTGCTTGTGAGTGCTCTTGGCATTACTGGGGTGGATGGGGTGTATCGCCTGACCTGCGAACTTGTCATGAAGAACCTGCGACGACATTGCGAGAACCTCCTTTCCATTCTTGAGGCCTTCATCTACGATCCACTTATCAACTGGCGTCTCGCAAACGTTGGAGACGGCGACAGGCCACAATCGCGGACAGAAACCGCGGTGAAGATGGAGGACAATAACCCTCTTGGTCCCGTGGAGGAGAATGCGCAGGGGCCGCAAATGCAACTGTCATTCTCTGTGGCGCGGGTGCGTGAGTTCGTTGCGGATGCCACCTTCGACCAGCTGAACGAGGAAGAAACGCGCAACCTGCAGGGTGACTTGGCTCTCGCCCGCGTTCATGCCAAACTTACAGGTGAGGACTTTGATGTTATGAACAGTAGTTCCCTTTTCCACAGCTCTCGGCGCGACGTGTGCGATGAATCCGCTGACAGCTCTTCATGTGACTCACAGAGTTACGAGGACTCCCAGAAGGACTCCTTCGGAATGGGGAACCCGGTATTGACGACGTATTTGTCGTTGCGGCGGGTGAATGGCGGGGCCAACTGCCTTGACGTGCCACACCAAGTCGATCGTCTTATTCAGGAGGCCACTAGTCTTGACAATCTCGCGGAAGCGTACATCACTGGTTGGGCTCCATTTTGGTAGCCGCATCACACGCGCGGTGCAGGCGTCCAGAGAAATCTATCCCGCCCAATTGAGGGAGGGGGGGCGTATGCCTATCTGCTCCCACGTCCCATCGCCGTGACATTCGGACGCTTTGAATCCTTCCGTGTGAAGCCTGCTGGGGTGAGGGGTGAGGGGTGAGGTGGGGGTGGGGGAGCGGGGCGTGCAATTCGGGGGGCAAAAGCCCCCGGGTGTAACACCAGCGACAGCGTCTAGCACGAGCCGAGGCAGAAAAATGAGGGAGTGACGTGTATGCGGGGAGGAGGCTGCACACCGGCACCTCTTCCTCCGCGGCGGGGTTGGCGAAGGCAGAATAAGTAGAACGGAAGCAACAATCAAAGCCTCGCTGCGTCGACGGTGAACAGCACCACCTGCTGAAGAAGATGACGTCCAAAAAAAAACAAAAAAGCGAAAAGCGAACAAAAAGAGGGAGCGAAATACGCACGCGCACGTGCATACAAAAGAACGAATTGCCTCGGAAGTT